TTCATTTGGCGATCTGCAGGCAGCGAATGCAAGTGATATTTAGCATTAACTTTGATGGAGATGAGCGAATTCCGATTGCGAGGACAACCCCTCCCAATCGCAATATCAGACTTTCGGGATCTCTGGAGATGCAGACAACATCCCAAAAGCATCCCGTCCGGAGACAAAAACCCAGCCAGCCCCTCGGTAGACAAAGTGCCAAGTCAGACAGATGCAGACGTATCTCATTTAGCATACCGTACTTTGCAGCTCATCTTTATTTCTTGGCAAGTTGTGTGCAATTCATTAAAGCGAAATCTGCTCGAATGCGAATAATGCAAATTGCTCTATTTTCATTCACAACGCCTGGTATTCTAGAGTATTTTCTAGAGTGGGGAGGGAATTGGGGCCTGCGTCAGTGGCAGTTGCAACAATCTGCCACAGAGAGTCGACGACAAATTTATTTGTGGCGCACGCAGCCAGGAGGGAGCATCAATGAAAATGCTGTTCAAGCAGTTGTCTCGCAGGCATTTTGCACTAAAAGTTCAAAAATTCCATTAATTATTCTCGGCGAAGAGTTCGCCTGGTTTCGCTTCGCTTTCTTCTCCGCTGCGCATCGGTTTATTCTTCTTGTTGCACTGCTAATTTTTCAAGAATTTGAAATTTCTTAATGGCCCGAGTGCGGGATGGGGGGGATTCTCCGTTGCCCGTTTGTCTGGGCCATCTAACCCACAGCTGCAGTGGCATAAAATCCACAGATGGGTGCAACAAATGGCTGGCAATATGTCTTCCCAAATTCTGAGCCAATCGAATGCAAGGTACATAGTTAAGAAAATTGTGTAATCTCACTTATTGAGTTGCTGAAAAGTAAGGAAAAGCCAGGTTTGGTAGCTACATAATATACTTTCTTCTACCCTTTTAGGGCTTTTGCGTTCCAAGGCATTGTTGTGTAAAAATAATTACTCCAATTATAATAAATGTTTTGAATAATCTCCATTTTCATTTTCATTTTCTTGCTCTACTTAGCCATTGATTCAATTTCCCGGAGTGTAGGCTTACCCCTATCGCCACTTACTCCCCCCGCCTCCTCTAAAACAAGGCCGGATGTGCTCATTGTGCTTCGTTTTCATTTCTACTTACATGTCTCCCGCCTTCCATCTCCCGCCTCTGCCGAAGCCCCCTTCCCCGCCCCAGCCCCTCATTAATGCTGCGCCGGAAGCGCCCAGCTGCTGCCGGACTTTGGATTTATCGGGCCGAAGAGGGGAGGGGCGGTGGATGGGGGCCGATGGTCAAAGACGCTTCGGAAAAGTTTTACCCCATTCCCAAACTTTGGTCGTGATTTCAGAAATGCGTTACGCAGTGCTTAAATCAGAACTCGGGCTGAAACAAAAGCTGCAGGTGATTCTCACGACCATCACATACCCATTGACATACATTCATGTTAAATGCGCCACCTGTTGAGCGTTTTCGGATACAGAGTATAACAGTTTTCTCATCATCAGTCGCCTGAAAATATTCGTAAAACGTTAAAGAACAATTTTTAAGAGCGGCTAACTACCAATGCTAATGATCCCTATCACTTTTTGACGGATTTGGGAAACTTAATTTTTGGGGTCAATTTTCGCATTTTCATTTTTGAAAAAATCAAAATTTTCATCAAATTTTGCAAAAAATGGCAAAAAAATAGAGTTCCCATTTTTAAATACAGTTCGATTGGAAATTTAATTACGAGCGCAACGAGGTATACCATTCCATGTTCAGACAATTATTTTAAAAGTTGTGGCCAAAAAACTGATTATTTTATGACCAAAATGTGCAAACACGGATTTTGGCAAAAATTTAATATTTGTTATGGGCATTTTAACCATAACTTGGCTAAAAATGATCACAAACATGAAAGAATAACTGTTTTGTGCAGCTAATTACCAATGCTAACGATCCCTATCACTTTTTGACGGATTTTGGGAAATTCATTTTTGGGTCAATTTTTGCATTTTTTTTAACGGGTAACATCATTAAAATTTGCAAAAAATGTCAAAAAAATAGAAGTCCCATTTCTAAACAAAGTTCGATTGGGAATTTAATTACGAGCGCAACGATGTATGCCATTCCGTATTCAGACAATTATTTTAAAAGTTATGGCAAAAAAACTGATTATTTTATGACCGAAATAAGAAAAAACGGATTATGGCAAAAATTAAAATATTTTTTAATCATAACTTGGCTAAAAATGCACAACATTAAAAGTTGAAAAAAATGGCTAAAAAACGAGTTCCCATTCGATTGGAAATTTAATTACGAACGCAACGAGGTATGACACTCCATACTTGGACCATTATTTTGCCAACTATCCCGCCTTCATGCTATGTACATGCATAGGTACTTTTCAACGAATCCATTATACCCTTTTACTTAATGGGCAACATAACTACAGCTAGTGCAATGCGGGATTGTGTGAAGCATTGCTTTTACACTGCGAAAACATTTACAGCGCAATAAGAAATGAAACCAGTTTGTGCAAACAAAAACTGAAATGAAAAGCCTTCTCCATATTAACTCATGAATCAGTTTCTGAAAATCCTGTTCAGTTTGACTTTATATTTGAAATGGAAATTCATTGAAATTGAAATGATTGATGAAGCATATGATTTTTTTTTTGTGCAGTCAGCTGACTGCTTGTTCTTCCCTAATTAGCTTCTCTATGGCGATCATTTCGACAGTTCACCGTTATGTTGCGACAGGGCTAACGGTTTTTTTCGCGTCCTCGTTGCGGCCCTTTTATTTATTGGCTGGCCACCCCACACGCAACAACAAAAACCGCAAAATGAAAATGGAAATTCGAAGAGCGGCGGAATGAAATGGAAAATGGGCGAGTGGTGGGAAAGTCAAAAGGAAGGGTGGTGGAGTGGGGATAGAGGGGCGTTGCGGGGGCTTAAGCGAACGGGAGTTTGTACCAAAAAGTTGAGCACTGCAAATGGCTCGCCATGGGCGCATAAATTTCCAAGCCACCTTGTCTATTTTTTTGTTTATTTATTTGTATTTTCTATTTTTTTGCTTTCTGTCGCTATGGTGGGTTGCTGTTTTCTTTGCGGGCATTTCTTTTCATATCTTTTTTTAGTTTTATTTGTATTTTCTCTTCTTTTTTTTGGCAATTTCCAACATGCAACATGTTGCACTGGAGTCAAGCCGAAACCCAAAACTTTTCCCGGGACTCCCGAAATAAGAAAAAAGTTGGGGAAAAAAAATGTTTTTTTCGCCTGGCTTCCACTTCCACTTCCTCTTCACGTTATCGTTTAAACAGTGCAACGTCTTTTAAAGAAATACATTTATTTTCAGTAGTTTTTGAAAGAATGAAAGAAAACAACATTGGGTTTCAAGACTTCAGAATTTCTAAAATTGTGAAACGGTTTTTTGTTAAATATGTCGCAGTTTTTCATTGTAACTTTGTTTAAGTTATTTTTCGATTTTCAAATTTGTAGATGCCCAAGCTGGACTGTACTTCGGTTTTTTAATATTTTTTTGAGAACGGGTTCTTCCCTAGCTTTATTAACGTTTTTTGGTGTTGCTAGGGGATGGGATGGGGGAAGGAGGGGGTTTTGATATTGTTTGCTGGCAGGCAGCGCAGTCTGTAATATTTTTGCCGCATAAAAGTCAAAATATGCAAATAAACTTGAAGTAGGGGCGAGGATTGCGATGGCACAGGGGGTTGCGGATGGGGGCAAGTGGAAAACGGGTGCTTTACTTTATGCATGGGGCGGCTAATACGATGAAACAGACATAGGAAAGCAGAATAAAACAATGGGCAGCAGGATGGTGGGCAGGGGTGGGGTCTCCACTCTGCAGAGGCAGCGCGGCTTAAATAATAAATGTAGTACACGCTTTGAAAGAATTTACTATACTTTGGCAAATGGGGGTTATAAAAACCTCTACACACACTCGCACGCACACACACACACACACACACACCGGGGTCTGCTGTCCGTGCTGTCCGGACTGTCCGGAGTCCGTGGTCCGCAGTCCGGGATGTGGAGTCCTTGGCCCGTGTTGCAGATTCCGTGGTGTGGAGTCCGGAGTGCGGGGTGCGGGGTGCGTGTGTAGCCTCCGATTTTATGATGTTTTTGAGTAGCAGTGAGCTGTGGATCTGCAGGGTGGGTATAAATAAACAATGCCCCTATAAGGTGGTGGTCAATAGGGGGTTAAGGGCAGCGGCATTTCATATTGTTGCTATAATCAGCGGCCGCTTTGATTCATCTGCATGTCCGCAGTGGCGGGTGATGGAGAGAGGAGAACCTTTGGTTTTGGCTTTATGCTCTGCCACCCCAGTATCATCAAAGAGCTAACCCGGGAGCTAGCTCCAATCCCAATCCCAATCCCAATCCCCATCCCAACCCCAGCCTCAGCCTCAGCCTCAGCCCAATCCAACCCAAGAGGCCGGGCCCAAGGCAACCGATTGCAACCTTAGCCCCACGAAACCCAAGCATCCAACCATCGCCAACACCCCCTACCCCCACCCATCCAACCACAACAACAACACAAAGCACCACAGTGGGGACTCCACACAGAGTCAGACTCGCAGACTCCGCTTCCACTTCCCCTTCCATTTTCATTTGCAACATGTCCAGTTCCAGTTGCGAACATGTTTGCTGCTCGAGTTCGATGGTCGGGCTCATAGGAATGCTCGAGAACTAGCCAAAAATAGCTAGATAAACTACAACGGGTTAAAGATCTTTTCCAAAATGCCTAACACTGATAGTTTAAATGAGTTTAACAAACACTAGTCAACTGCTTACAGCGGGTTATGAACATGTTATCTACATTCATGTTAAGAAGAACGCAATAAGTTAAAGTACTCACATTTCTCCAATATTTTGCATCCGAAGGACTCTTCCTTCACCGTTCTAGCCAATTTGGCTATAGCTAACTGGGCTGCTCGCACTGCAGTAGTTGTTGCCGCTTGTTGTAGTTGCCAGCGTTGTTGCAGTTGTTGCTGTTGTTGCTTTTATCTCTGTTTCGAATTCGGTTCTCGTGCTCTCTGTTTTCGTTGTTTTCGTTCAGAGCAGCATTAACCCTCGACGGCGACGCTCGTTTTTCGGTTGTTCGGCTCCTGAAATCGAAATTGTAATTTCGCACAGCGTATACATTAGATTTTCCTCCTTCACGTGTCGCGCGCGTGTGCTATTCTTGTTATTGTCCTATCGTCGCCTTTTTTTTCGGGTGTATACTTAACAAAATCGTTACAGTTAAACATTTTTTTTTCACGTGTCTTACTGTTACTTCTGATTCAACAACAAACACAAAAGTCAAACAAATAAAGCACGTTAAAGGGAACACCGAAAAAAAATAACAAAAACAAAAACAAATACAAATAGGATAGGTTGTTGTTGTTTTCGCGCAGCATGTGGAGTTACAGTTAACTGTTACAGTTAACGGGCAGCAAAGTGAGGGGGAGAAAGAGGTGTGTAGGAGCAGTGGGCGAAGCACAAGGAGCAGCAGAAGCGAAAAGAGAGTAGAGGATAGGGATTTACTGCTTCGCTTCACTAAATGCAGTCGACGCTGCGATTATTATGTGCCAGCTCCAATAACAACAACAGCAGCAGCAAAAAACCGCCGCAGCAGCAGCAACAACACCACTTGATACGAAAATAAACAAACAAAATCAATCAATTAATCAATCTGCTGAGCACACCGCTCTCCACGCCCACACACACAAACACACACGCAACAACACACAACGCAGGCACAACCACAACAACAACACACACACACATACGAGTGCGAGTCAACGCCCACGCCCATTTTAGAAAAAGGAGGGAGTGGCAGGACGACAACAAGCAAAGGAGGAGGAGGAGAAAGGAGGAGACAAGCACGAGGACGAAGACAACATGTTCCACTCACTTGTTTTGATGGCCTGCGCCCTTGCCGCCCTCTCTGTCGCCCAGGGGGCGGGGTTCGCTCGATCGAAATCGCTGCCGTTATCGTTATCGCTATCGCTATCGGTATCGGTGTCCTCTTCATCGGCATCCAGTCCAGGAGCTGCTGACCCAACAGCCGCCGTCACCGCCATCGCCACCGCCCCCTCCCCCGCAACCGTTCCCTTTGCCGGCAAACAGCTAAACAGATGCCGTCAAAGTTGCTATCAGCAGGTAAGAATCCAAGTAAATACATATACGCAAGAGTAAAAATAAGAATCCCAATTGAAGCCCCAGAAACCCAGACGCATAAACCCCAGACTCAGAATCAGACTGGCACTGAGAACTCGGAACTGAGAACTGAGAACCGAGAACTCAGAACTGAGAACCCGAGATAAGAACTGGGATCGTATCGGAAACGTTTCGATCCCAGTTCGTTTGATGGACAGTTGTATGCCCAGTTGAGCGGCAATATAACCGATAGGGAATTCGCTTTGTACACAGCGAAAAAATTATGTGGCTGATATACATATACAGCTTGGGGATCGATGTAGATTTGGATTAGCAAGTGCAGATTAGAACACATCTGGGTTTATAATATATGTATACCAAGGGTTTTCAGCATTCACCCCTGCAAATATGGTATATGTTTAATTATAATTTAATACAATTTTCAAATCTTTACGTAACTACAGCTTTGGCTTCTGTTCAAACACATTTTTCAACCCTTGATCAGCCCAAATTCACATATGTATGTATGTATGCATACATCATTGACTTCCCTTTGTAGACAAGCATCTTGAAATTCTCATGATAATTAACAATCCGTGAATTTGCATGTTTCTGTTATTTTTCATTTCCTTAATTTCGTATTACAAGGCCATCTGCATTTCATAATTTATTCATCGTATCAAAACCGCTTTTTCCAAAAATGGCTGTTCAGTCGAAACTCCCTTAAGAATTTTTAGAATTCACGATAAGTACAAACTCGGACTTTTTTATCTACATTTGTATGTATCCATGCATGATTCACGTTTGTTCTAAGAACTTTTTCAAGATTAAGGGGCTTAAGATCCGAATACTTCACTAGAAAGGCTCGAAGAAAATGTTTTGCCCAACACACAGCCACATTTTCCCAGCCACTTTTCAAGTGCATCGCTCTGCCGTCAGGTTCTCAAGCTAATGCGATTAAGATTGCCCTAATTGAGGTCATGCCGAATTGGCCTCGGGTACCCACCCCGTTTTTTCGCGCCGTGTAGGGAACAGTTGTGCCCTGGACGACGCCGACCTTCAAGGTTAGGAGACGCGGACGCGGACGAGGGCGCGGGCGCGGATGCGGACACAGACGTCGATGACAATGACAATGGTCTCGGTTTTCGGGACCTGAACAACTGGAGACCTGGCGTACTGGAGGACCGAAGAGCTGAGGAACTCGAGAAGGCGACGTCATTTTTTATGGCCGCTCGCTGGGTCTTTTATCTTTTATCTACGGGTTGACATCGCAGCTATTGCCGCTGCTGCTTCTGTTGCCGGTTATTATTGTTGTTATTGTTGTTGTTGTCGCTGCCGCTGCCATACCGCTCACCCTACCGCTTGCCTTACCGCTCAGGTAGTCACCGCCGGTCGCTAGAAAGATGTCAACTGGGTGGTCGAGCGTCGCTAATAGAGATCGGGAATTCAATTTGATCCGTCCATAGACAATGGCCAAAAACCAGAGACCAAAAAAAGTGAACACAGGGGGAAAAAGCCAGACAATCCGCACAGGAATAAAGCTCTCGGATCGAATTTGTACAAAGCTGTCACAGATGGATGGACAGAAGTTCAGCTGAAAAGCCGCAGCCAAGGGAAAAGGGAAAGATACCTTTTTTTCAAAATAGAGCAGGTGGGCAGAACAATGGGCTCTGGAGAAGGAGCCCAAGAAATGCAGAAGAAAGAACTTTGAGAAATCACCGCGAAAAATCGGAAACAATTCAAAAGGGAATCAAGGGGGGATAACTTATAACCACGTATTATGCAATGACTTGGATTAAATACTCTATCAACACAAGAGCCATTTACAAAATTAGTCGGTGAAAAACCCACTTATCAATTAAGGCATTAAGCCGCGACAGCAAATAGAAAACTCCAATTAATTGAACTCACCGCAATTTCCAAGCTGATACTTGCTAAGAGCAAATAAATACACAAAACTAAAGCCCAACTAATCAATATGAATAACAAAGTTTTCCAACCAACAAAGCCAACTTGAAAATACCACTACAAGCGAGTGGAAGTGAGTCCCGAACCCAAACGAACTCACCCCCAATTCAAAAATACGCTGAGTTGACACTTTCTTGTGTTTTTCCCCTAAAAACAAAGTTTGGGACCCCGGGGATTCGGTTTCCCCTCCGCTGCATGTAACCGATCCCCAACGAAATAATTTCGAATATGTGTTTTTGTCCCCGATGCATTGAAATCAAGACGCAGCGCAGAAATAGAAGCACAAGTTTCCCAAAAAGATTTCACCCACCCAGCCAGCCGCCAACCAGTTGATTTTTAAATGCGTGACTTCCTGGAACCGCGCTGATCTGTCAGCGATATCGGAAACAGAGGATGGAGGCATGGAGACATGGAGGCATGGAGGTGGCTGACAACTGTTGCGGACTGTTAATAAATTTCAATCAAACGAAATCAAATCAAATTTTCATATCGATTCGATCCGAGCAGCTCCCCGCCAAGTGTACATGCATACGTGCATAAATCAAGTGGGAAAAACACAAGAGTATAAATATCATCTCCGATTTCCAAGTAAGTCGAGCTCTCTGTGGCGACGAGGTGTACGTACGGGTACGGCGTAGTGTTGGTATTGGGATTGGTATTGAAATTGGGTTTTCCATTCGAGTGGAGAACCAAGGAACCGGGGAACCGGGGAACCGAGGAACCGGGGAACCAAGGAACCGGGGAACCGAGAAACCGACAAACTGAGATACCGAGCTGGGCAGAACGAGGCAGTCAACCCAATTGACTCCATGAGGAGTGCTCATGAGTGCTGTGGCGACACTTACAATGAAACATGGGATGAAACTCGAGAGGCCAAGACACTCGGATTGTCTGGGGCACTCGAAATCGTTCTAGGGAAACGCTACAAAGCCACATACTACGTCCAAGTCCAAATATAGAGCCAAAGTTTATTGATTTAACACGAGAGCACGGCAGCAATTTGTCCAAATATAGTTCGGCAGCACTTTGATACGACCGAGCATCATGAGTGGCCTGAATAATGTGATTCTAACCTACGGTCAAACTCGATGGCCCTGGCTGATCTTGTTGCATAGATCTTCTTGGTTGAAGTGCCCAACTAACTGGAACTATATCTAACTATGTCTAACTAGCATAATTCTAGTAGCCATCGGTTAATTATAGTAACCTACGGTTAAAGTGGATAACTGGGCCACACCGAGGCATTAAATGAAATGGAAAGCTTACCAAATTGACGAGTTCATTTCCATCTTATCTCAATGGTGATATGTCAGATGCTGCTGCATATAACATAAGTTAATCTCACTGATTATTCAGACCGAAATGGCAGATGTTCGCTATAAATATCCGCCACTCTATTTTCTTGTGTTGCTTTAAATGTGCCAGGCTTTTCGGCTTTAGTTATGCCAATCTTTGCTGATTATTTAGTCCGAAATTGCAGATTTCAGGCACGAAATACTTAAGCTTTCGCCTGTGTGCCGTCTGCATTCTGAATTCCTGATCACCGTCATCATCTCCATCCGATATGCCCTTTGAAGTTCGCTCAAGAGTTTTGGATGGGATGCTCGCTGGGTGGGTGGATGGGTGGATGTGATGGATGGGGTGTTGGTGATGGTGCTAGTGGTGATGGTGATGGTAATGCAGGATGCCTCGGCTCGGTTCGCCGAAAGTCAAAAGTTCTTAGGGGTTGCAGGCTGGGCTAATTTCATGCTCGGTTCGCAGGACTAACTGGAACTAATCCACCCAGCCATTCATCCGTCCATCCATCCAACCCCCAAAACTGAGAATCGCTAACTGGGAACAGGAGAATCGACAGAACGGGGAATGCGATTCCGAATGCGAATGCGTTGCTCAATCAGCGCCAAATTAACACCATGAAAGACTTTTCCTCCTTCACTTTGGATATGTTTTGGGAGGTTGGGTGGTTCGATGGGTGGTTCGATGGGTGGTGCGATGGGTGCTCCAGTTGGCTGGGTGGATTCGGGATTTCATCTTTTTTTTTTTTGGGTGCTGCGGTGGCCGGAAGCTTCGATCTTGATGTATATGCAAGGCACGTAGTTCGGCCGCTGCTGGTGGTGGAATCATCGAATATATCTACGTATGCGTACGTGTCTCATAAAAGCCGCTCAAAAAACTGACTGACTGACCCAACTTCGGTAATTTATGTGGCCAACGGAGTCATGTGCCTATGGTTCCCACACTTGCCGAAACAAAAACTAGTTCAATAACTCAACAAAGCTATCGTCTACAACACATCTAAAAAGAAATTGCTATCTTTTGGTTGTTATATACTAATAGAACCATTAGAAATAACAGAATAAGAGGGTATTTAAAGCCCCTAACATTTACTTCACAATTTACCATATATTTGTATTGTTCCAAACTAAAACAAAAATGGGATTAACTATAACCCTGAAAAAGAAGCGTACAGAATAGAGTACAAATTGCCGGATTTACTGTAGCTTAACTGAATTGGGAAAATCGTGTTTTCCACACGCACATGCGAACATCAAAGGAAATTCGCAGCCTTTAGGTGGGAGTTTTGACACTTTTCTTCAAGTGCATTTGTGCCGAGGGTGCGAAATACCAGGGCAATTGCATGTAAAAGTTGTCGCTGCCTGCGTTTAATTTATATGGCCCAGACACATTTTGGACCAGGTAGTAGTAGGCCATGCCTTTGGACTCGAGACTGTGGAAAGTGGGAAAATGCGAAGTGGGAACTGGGAACTGGGAAAAGGGAAAAGGGAAAATCGGGGAAGGCCGACAGACCGAACGGCCAAAAGATTTGCCAGTTCAGCGTTTTCATTCAGTCATTCGGTCATTCATTCGTTTATTCATTCATTCTGAATGCCTTATTGTTGTTACTTATCGCCCAAGTTGTTTCAGGTTCAGGCCCTCATTCGCATCCACGTCCTCATCCTTGTCCACAATTTCGGTTGCACAACGCAATCCTCCCCTCATCAACTACATCGTCTACATCTTCAGAGGCCAAAAATTCAATTGAGCGGAAAATATGTTGTCTTTGCGATTTTCCTTTTGGCATTCGTCGTTTTTATCTGCCACAACTGCTTGGTTTTGGTCCTGCCCCTCCTGCCCCTCCTGCTCCTCCTGCCCCTCCTGCTACTCCTGCTCATTTTCCCTTTCCGTTTCCCCGGATTTTACTGATTTTCCTGCCTTATTGTGTAATGATGACAAAGTGCCGCCGTCAAAGTTGGCCCAAAAGGTGATGGCAGCCATTGTCCGGCGGATTTTTCCTTTCCTTTGCCCTGGATGATGGATGATCGATCCAGATGCAAGTAGTTGCTGTGCTACATTTGCACAAAGTACGGATGCATTTAAGGGCTTAGTGAGCTGGATAGCTGGATAGCTGGATAGCATCGGAGTGGAGGTGGCAGTGGCTTAAGGTTGCCAGGGAGCGATTGAGCAGGGAGATAGTATCGGAATTGCTCTAGTTTCGGAATATAAAAACGATTTAGACAGTTGAATTGCTTGGAGAAAGGAGCTAAATTTTATTTAATTTTTTTCAAGTAAAAAAAAAGTAAATTATAGCAAATAAATGGCAAAAACCTTGTGACCCAAGGTGTTCACGAAGGTAGTCGAATGTCAATTAAGCGATTTTAATAGGTTGTTTATTTTGATAAGGTTTAATTTGACACATGTTCATGTTAAACAAACATTATGGTGCAAGTGTTGGCAGCTATTATAATTATTGATTTTTATTAAAGCCAACTGGCAATATGTAAAGTTTTCGCTTAGGAGGTTTGGTTTTTAAGTCTGCAATTCGGGAGTCTCACATTTTATATGAATAACTATATGAAACCAAGCTTACAATTCAATCACGATCCGAAATGAACTAGTGTAACGAATCGTGTGAGACTGTAGATAAAGATTTCATAAATTCGATGCCGGCGAATGCAATAATCATAAATCTGGCTTGCAGCAGACATTAGGGTTACTTAACCTAACCCTCCCCGAAGCCGAAAACGAATGCCCAATGAATTGAGATCTGTATGGGCACCGCCTCGTTTGATTTTTTTAATATTGTAAACTCCGAGTCATAACAATTTGTCACGCACCCATCTCTAATCGCCGTCGACTCATTCCCAGTTCCATTCCCAGTCCCTTATTCATCTGTCTGTTTCTCTGCCAGCTCATTCACAAAAGGACTGCGGACAGACGTCAAAGGAGGAGGAGGAGGGGTGGGCTAACTGGTCCTAGGTCCTAAGTCCCGAGTCCCGAGTCCTGCGCCGTGCTACTCCGTACTGCCCGCTGTTCCATTTTGTTCCGTTCAGTTCAGCTGTTTTGAGACTAAGGCGACAGTTGACAAAGGCTAAGCAGGCAGTCCGGTTTGATCTCGATCCTCCTGCTCCCAGTCCCTCGGCCTCTATCATCCGCATCCTCATGCTCAGCCTCGTCCTGTTACGGCAATCCTCCTCATTATCCTCATTGCCGGGAGCGTGAAATTTTCAATTCGCCATAGACGAACACAAACGTTTGTGGTCATTTACTTGTGTACAGAAACGGGCAGAAGAATAGCAAACGGATTAGCAAAATTGCCCAAAACAACAAACAATTAGGCAGAGCGTGCGATTCCATCATTAAATGGTCTATTGATTTCCATATTGGGATCGGTTAACACCGGAAACTGCAATATGTGCTGGAAGGTAAATTTGAAACCGAAAATTCTGAAAGGCATGCAGATTTAGCACTGGTCAGGGCACATTCATAAAGTCATTCTACGCCCGAGTTCCCCATTTTCCTGACCGCTGCTGTATATCTACATAGACTTTTCGCTTCTTTTTTCCTGCCGCCTGCATGCCCTGCCGTTATTACGAGTTACAAATTTGCGTCTATTGTTGGGGCCATAAGATAGAGGACGGGCCCAAGAGGAGGCTGCTGATGACTCCTTGTTGTTTGTCCTGGCAGCCCGGGGTCTTGGGCCTGATTACTTTTTGCTAGCTTACTTAAAATTCGATTAGGCCACGCCCACTAACTAACTTTGTCCTGTCGTCTCTGCTTGCAGCTTTCCAGGGACTGGCATTATTGTAAGGATTCCGTTGATTGCACAAACGTAAGTATCTCCATTCATGTTTGTCTTTGTGCGACAGCCTAACGATGTCATTAACCCATTAATGCCGGCTTAAAACTGCTAAAAAAAAAACTGAAATTCCGAGCAGTCCACTCGTAGGCTAACTGAATTATAATCTAATGATAATTTAGTAGAAATGTGATGAGCATGGGGCTTGTGATCAAATCACTGAAATTCCCCAAGACTTAAAATGGACTTTACTGTCTCGTAAAAAATCGTTCAAATTTTAATAATTTTCATTGCAAGCATTAATCTTTATTTGCCTTACCCGGCATTAATTTTATTAGAAATTTGACAATTTGGTAAATTTCTCTGGAGAAGCATCTTTTTAAATGCCCGAAATTAAATCTACATTTATTATCGCAAGCCGGCTGGAAAAGGGTTGTTTCTGCTGCCACTGCCACTGTGACTGCCAATTTGCCATGCGTAAACATTTTTAGGCACTTACACGGCAAGGACATGAATTATGCCAAACGAAACAGCCCGGCCTTAATGGGTTAAACGTTGTCGCTCGGGGGCGAAAAGTGGCAACCGAAGGATGAACAAATTTCATTGCCTACCTGCGGGCGCGCCACATAATTACAAGAAATAATTGACAAATAGCTAACTTTACCTTCCTCTCTCTTCTCTTCCCTTCCCTACCTTACCGTTCTATGCCATTCCACAATGCTTCGTGTCCTGCCTGGGGCGTTGTCCTTGTGCTCCATGGCATCCACGGCATTCCTCGAATCCCGTGCGAACCACAGTGCTGCCAAAAGCTGGTGGCACCCTTCGAACTGCGGATCCTGAAGGCCCAGCGCCAGGAGTCGCTCGTCCTCACGGACATCGGCTGGGATGAGATGATAGCGAATTCCTCGCGCCAGTGCCTCATCACCTGGGAGGTGTCCGGCGGCGGCCTGATCGGCAATCTCCTCACGGACACCGCCCGGGCGGAACTCTCCTTGTGGCCGGACACCGTCTACAACATCCAGGTCAAGTGCAAGCACAAGGTGAGTTCACATTTGGTTAACTCACTATTTGATAGCTAATTGGGCGGTTAAATAAAAGAAATTATCGCATTTGGAGTGTTTAAACTGGGGCTTATCGCAATGCGGGTTAAATGCACAAGATGCTGCCTTATCTACTATATCTTATCTCTAAAGGGATTTCTGGCACAAGCCCAAACAAAGCGAAAGAGTTCTTGTGGCTATGCTTATAGAGCTAAAAGGAACGTTATACGATCTTAGCCCAAGTATTATATTCTTCAGCACCCATCGACACTGTATTCACACGGCTTTCTACCTATTTCAATTTAATAGCTCACGGGTCTGATGCGGCGTTCGATCAAGCTGAATGTGGACACCAGCCAGTTGGTGGGCACGACAACGACAACGACCACGACCACGACAACGAGCGGCACACCGAGGAGCCAGGGGCAGCCAGTGGAGCAGCCGTTGGACCAGCCAGATGCCTTGGAGCACTCGCAGCGCATTCGTGTCCGGCCCACGGATCGGGTGTACATAATCAGTGCACTGCCCACGGCCAGCGAGTTGGGCGGAGTGGTTTATCCGGCCTTCGGGGCGCTGGCCTTCTTCCTGGCCCTGCTGGTCATGTTCCTCTTCCTGCGTCCGCAGCGCAAGCGATTCCCCCTGGATGCGGACAGTGCGGACACGGCCACGTTGATAGGTCGCAGCTCGAGCAGCTCGAGGAACTCACTGGACGCCTCCACGCTGCATGTCTAAGGCGGAGGCTGGCCGGAGAACCTGTAGTCGTATATATATAGATGTCTGACTATGTGATATTCTGCACCCCAAAAAAGAGAACCATACAAAAAACAAATGAACAAAGGACGCGATGACAACTGTGTACATACCCCTTGCCGCGTTAGTTAGTCCTTCCCTATCCGAAATATTAAATCCTGGATTTTGATTCGACATGATTGATCAGATCGAATCGCTTCGAATCGAATCAAATTGAATTGAATTGAATTGAAATGAATTGAGTTGGATAGTCAAGGCAACGTTCGCTCAACTAAGTTAAGTTTTATCCTCTGCCATTCGTAGATCCCAATGCCAAACCAGCGCAGTCATATACATATACACGCATGATAAACATACATAGCTCTATATACACATAACAACTATATTATACATTTAACGCATTTACTATATACATATACATATATCATAGTTATACAAGCAGGAACAGCTAGAGATCAAGATAAAGATACAGATGCAGATACGTTTACGGTTACGGTTACGGTTACGGATACAAATATATATATATATATTATATATATTATATTATTATATATTATATATTATATTATATTATATAATAGACTAGGGGCCAACGGCCAACCAACTACATACACCAAACTAAATGCAACAAATTGCTACAAATTTTTTGTCAATCGTCGTCGCTCGCTTGCAAACATACAAACAATATTAATTTGTTTTTATCTCAGGTTAAAAACAAATAAATACCAATTAATACAAATACAAAATATCATGCATCTCTTTTCCATTTTTCGTCGTCTTAAAACTTCAATTAAACATAGTACATAAACGCATGCAAAAAAGGCAAAGCAAAACAAAAATTAATTACAAATTAAAAGGAAAGCAACTTAAATCAGAAGTAAATATTTTTCAAAATTTTTAAATGTTTATACCTAGACAAACTCAATTGAATTAACAACAAAGTAAACTATTATAAATGACTTACTGTACTTGAGCATGTAAAAACAAAGTAACAAAGTAACTAACTAAACTAAACTAAACTAAACTATGGTTAATGGTTAATTAAAGATCTAAGCTGAGAAAAATAACTTCGCTACGCAAAATGCCTGTAAATATTTTAGCCCTAATTTATTTATATTTATATTATAACAATACATTGTTTTGTTAACCTATGATTTTAAGGATATGGAACGTTTTCCAGGGGCAAGAAGATGGTCTCCCAGCCTGAGGGAATCTTTTAGTTTTCGGAGCAAGAAAGAACAACTTAATATGATTAATGGAGTGTTCCGGCCTTGGATGTTTCTTATAAAAACGTATGTTTACAGTGTCTGCTCCAACGGTTGTAGTATGAATTAGTGAATTCGATCAAATCAAAAATAGACCCAGCCAATCTTCTTACCCCAAAATGGAATCTGTGGAGTGAGAACTTTGTGTAGTGTGAACCCATTGCCATATATAATGCAGTCCTAGTTTAATTTTAGTTAAGCAATCAAAGTGTGTTACCTCTTTGTTTTGTAGTTTTTTTTTTTTTGTGTGGCAGAGACTCGTTAAGACTAAATACGAAATATGCCAATCACATTTAGATATATACAGTGTATGAATAAATTCGGACGAGAAGGATGGTAGCGGATGTGCGGCACCCTTTCAACATTTATCCTTTATTCGTTTATTATGTAAATATAATTTGATTTGTTATTGCAGCTCATTTTTGGCTACTTTTATTTGTTGCGGGTTGGCATGGGAATATGTATGCATGTACATGTATACATTTATGCACACTATAGCCCCCCCTTTGTAATCAAAAAACTAAGCCATCGATTTTTGTGGCTCCCCTGTCTTCTGCTCCACTGTGCTTCCCGATTTTATCCCCCTTCGTCCTCGTCCTCGCACTTATCATATAAATTAGAGTTGGGATATGCAAATGCATTCAAGGCGACGAGGGGGTTGATTGTGTAAAAAGGGGTCGTCGTGTCGATTATGAGAAACTTCTTTGGCTAGATGAAATGGAAAAATTCCTTTGCCGCGGCCCAAAAAGTATTCTCCAAAGAATTTCCGATTAAACTTTTCCTTTCTACGCTGCTTTTCTGCGCAAAACTCCTTTCGTCGGCTAGGGAAACTTTTTCGTTCGTCTCTGCTGCTTTCTTTATTTTCCATTTTTTTTTTTAAGTTCTTTAATTTATTTTTTTTTTTTTTGTGTTAGCCTTTCCTGTTTCTGGATTAGCAAAAGGGGGTTGGCTTTTCTTGGCCACTTGGCTGCCATTAGATCCGAATTCCCATCATCCCCCTTTTGGTTCAGCTGTTGTTTGCTCGGCCACTTCAGCATCTCCCCGCACTCCACGCTCTCAAGCACTTTTTATAAACCAAATTAAATTTATATGCCCCTACAGCTAAAGCAGCCCCCCAGCCCCCAGCCCCAATCCCTCCTCTTAACCCATGCTCGCCTGCCGATGGCTGTGTTGTTTTTTTGTGGGCCAAGCCAATCCCAGGCTCTCGACGCTGTCAACTGCCAATTAGCTGAGCATTTTTCAACATTTTAAATTGTCTTCCCAGAGTGCGTGGTGCCCCATTCCCATTTCCGAAGGGGTCTTTTCCAAGGCGGGGGGATTAGGTCTGGGCGACACTTGAGTGAGACGTCCAAGCGATTTTGCTTTTATAACCCCGAATACCCATTGCGAGTATTCGGCAAGGGCATGTCCACTGACAATACCCCTTGAAAAGAGTAGCCGATCATGCCCTGCAGTGTGATCAGCCTATTATGGGTTTAACCCATGGCATAGGTGTTCAAATGCAGTCAACATTTTAAACTTTTTTGATTTTAGTTTTGAGGTTTCGTGTACGTGAAGCTCCATGCCTTTAATTCCAACTACTCAACAAAAATCTTCCAAATAAATAAGTATGCATATTTAAAGCATATAGAGAATATTCTTTGAGGAGAAACAAAGAATACAACTAAGTGTGGACTGAAAAACGTGTTAAACTTTGATTCCTTTGAATGTACATTTCAATCTTTTCCTATTTTTTATATCACTTATTTCTGAATGTTTTCAAATAATTGTATAAAAAATATATAAAATTAGGTGTATGTATTTATAACCAATACAAATGTTAATTGATAAAGAAAGACAATTTTCAACTTAGAACAAAAGCAGATATAACCAAATAAACTTCTTCCTGATAAGCTAAGCATATTTATATATAAATATCAGATACATATATGAAAATATACATATAGAATACTTTGTTATTTTTATTTGCTTTTTTGATAACTGATTAATACTTGAATTTACAATTAAGTGAAGCATGTTAAAATATAAAGATAATGATAATCGTTTCACAAATCATTTTTTCATTTACCAATTTTTGCTGCAATCAAAAGGATTTTTGTTCCATCTCTAGATCAAAGACAAAAATTTATAATGTTAACAACTACTGACTAAGTAAATTCCCATATAAATTATTTAAGAAACCACGTTCTTTGTTTCATTTTTTGTAACATGTGAGAAATAATCAAAGTCCTGTGTAATTCCAGCTCCCGAATCCACTTGAAGCCACGCGCTTCCAATTAGGAGTCCAATTGGACTGCCAATTGCTTTTGATCTTGGCGGCGAGCAATCATAGGGTAGCACTGGTGCGAGAGCAGTGCGCTGCCGCTCGCTCGCGCTGTTTGTTTTAGTTGTTGCTTTTGTTGTTCGGCTGTCAGTTGTGCAGCGCGTGCTTCATTTATCAAAAAGCAATTACAATGTTATTTCGATAAAGATGCTCCAATGCTCCCAATGGACACGCCCACACTCACGCCCGCGCCCCCGCCCCCGCCATCGCAAGCACACACAAACACACAGGCACACCCAACAAGCAAATATGTACAAAAGAAATGAAATTCAGCGGGAGAGAGCCAGAAAGCAGGAGAAGAGCAAGTGGAAGAGGAGAGGGGCCCACCTGCCAAATCCAAATCATTTGCCAAAATCCACCTCTCTCTTTCCGCTTAACCCTTAGTCACCCCCACCCTTAACCCCTACTCCGGGCCCAACCTTGTTTAGCTTTTTGATTTTTATTTTGTAATATAAATTATCAAACACGTAAAAGTAAGAACCGAAGGCAACCTTCGAAGCGCTGAGAAAACAAAAGCAACAACAGCTGGTGTCGAAGTAGTAGCAGCGGCTTTTTAGTTGCGTTGCTTAACATGTACTAAGATTAGATCGGATTTAAATTTAAAATACTTTTCTTTTTTTATGATAAGATGGTAAACAAATTTCTCCAAAGTTGTTAACTGATTCTAATCAAGGACCTGCTGCTACTATCTTGACCGCAGTTGTGCACATATAGAGATATAGGGGACCTCCAAACATATTGTATTACAACACGATGGAGATGAAAAAAAAGGAAGTATAAACAACAAAAATTATTAATTCTAAGTAGACAAAAGATAGAAGTGGAGTAGAGTATAAAGGAGAAGGCGCGGAGGAGGCGGAGGAGCAGATGAAGCGCAAAGCAAACCAAATAAAATTAGACTACGACTAAAAGGCAAACGAGAAGAGAACAGAAGAGATAACTTGGCTTTTTGGGTGGCTGGAAGGGGGTGGCGCAGGGTGGCCGGCGGGAAAAGTGGGCGGGGGTGGGTGGAAAAGCGAGCATGTGTTTGTGCCATAAAAGGTTTCTCATTACAATTTTGTTGTTGTTCCCGCTGTTGTTTTTCTTTTCTGTCTTGTGTCTTGTGTCTTTTTTTTTCATTTTCTGGCCAAGGGTCGTCGCATCGTTGCACAAAATTACTTTTTTCCTTTCCCCCAAAATGTGCCAGCGGCCAAAGGGGGGAGGGGCGGCCCTGATTTTGCCGGGGAGCAGGGAGGTGGGCCAAGGGAATAAGGCAACTACAACAGCATCAGCAACACACTGCGAGGAAAAGGGGTGTTCGACTTAAGAATCTATACCCAGTGCATCTCTATCATTGGGCAGATACAATATCTACAGAATATCCGCAAACTGCAAAGTTCGTGTACTTACAATTATGGAGCTTTATCTCCGATATACGGCTAATTTATTGTACTTTTTGTTTTTAAGCGAAACCCGCACTTTATTTTGGGTTACTGCAAATTATTATACCAATCAATGCAGTAATTGGCGAGTGAAAGTGAGCGCGAAATGTGCTCATTATGTTATGATTGCGGGCAAAACTTGTCATGAAGGGAAATTCAAAACCTTGCCTTCCGCTGGTAATTTACCTTTCCTCTTAATTGGCATCAGATTCGCCGCCCTTTGGGCCCCAATTGTTTTTCCAGTGCAGCGATAGCAGCAGCCGCAGCAGCCGAAGGGCGATTGCTGTTCAAGGCAGTTTATCGGGTAGCAGGGCAAGGGAGGGGGGTGGAGTGGGGTGGAGTGGGCGCCAAGGCGGCCAAGGCTGGTCCGGAAAATTGATAAATTTCTGTGGCAAATTTCCACAAATATCAAAAGATTAGAGCAACTTTTCAATTAAGAAATGGAAACTAATCTCAATCATTGCAGGGACAGGCGGCACTGGAGCTTCACTGGCC